AGCAGCCTTTGCTGAGCCGGTGGTGCATACAGTCTATAGCCAGGCTGCAACCGGGGCCTACACAGGCTGGTGGCCAGCGAGTGTTCACCCCCTAAAAGAAGTCTGGTCCCCCAGGCAGAGCTGGGCAGCGGCATGGGGAGGCTATATCAAATCACAAGCAGCTCACAGTAGCCAAAGTGAGCAGGCTCTGCCCTTGGCTACCCCAAGTTTTCAGAGCCATCAGAAGCTTTTGGGGCACTCCCACCTTTGGAGAAGGATCCTAAGTTTGCTCACCCTTCCTGGGATGGAAGAAGTCATGGTTTGGGAAGCTACAGATGGAGTGGCAGATGGGAAGTGAAGGCCCATCAGAGTTGCCCAGGATAAAACCATTCATCTGCAAAATTCATATGTTTTTGTGTGGGGCGACTTTGTGAAAACAACAGCAAGAGGAAGCAGCAGTGCCTGATGCATGACGTGCCTCTGGCCACCAGGCTGGCAAAGCACAGTGGACAGAAGAACCGGGGCTGCGGGGAGAGGGGTGGGCGGGCACTGAAATGAGAGCAGAGAAAGACAGAGCAACAGAGACGCAGAGACACAGAGCGTGGAGCTAAAAAGCTAGAAATACGATGACTCTCTTCCCCAAACCCCCAAATAGGTGGGGCACATGGTCTAAGGAAGGATTTCTGGACCCCTCAGATATGAGGCTCAGCCTTACAACGAAACTGACTGTGGACACTGACTGGGTACTTTCTAAGTGCCAACACTCTGCTGGTTGCATTGCTACAACCTGATCTCACCAAGATTGAATTTACCTCTGATGGTTTTTGCCGGGAGCCGGTCCATGCTTGCTGTTTCAAGGGACCTGGCATATATGGCATACTGTTCTTAATATGTTTGCTCACCTTCTTGGCACTATGTGTTTTAACCAAGGTCTCTGAGAAAGGTTGTTTCCCCAGGTAGGGATTTTCCCCTGAAGTTAGGGAGGGAATAAAACCTCTTAACTAAGTGCCAGGTGGGTAATTAATCACTTTAATACGAACAATCATGCTTAAGCTACATAATCTTTACTCCCTGGACTGGAGATAAGAAACGCCCTAACCTTTGTAATAGAGATTGATAGGATTGAATCAACTGGTATAAATACAGATGTAACAAGACAGCAAGACACAGAACTTAGAACACAGAACTTAGAACACAGAACCAAGAGACACAGAACCTAGACACAGAACCTACACAGAACCTAGAGACAGAAGAACTTCGCTGGAGAGAACATGGCAAAAGATCCTGGACTGAACCTGAATATAGAACATGGCAAGAGAACCTGACTAGAACCTGGTGACTGAACCTGGCTGGAGAACCTGGAGAACCTGGCTGGAGAACCTAGCAAGAGAACATGGACACAGAACCTGGCTGGAGATCCTCAACAGAACTTGGCTGGAGATTGGGGCTAGAGATCCTGGCAAGGCTGCTGATCAACTGAACGCTGTCTCCGTGTCATTCCTTCTTCTCCGACTCCGTCCACACCTTTGGGGACCCCTGGACCTGCTGGGGTTGGACCCTAGCAGGTTTTAGTTCTGCCAGTGAAGTGGCAGAACTCAGACTCAAACCTTGGCCACCTGCTGAGAGTCAGAGCACTCCTTCTATCTGAAATGCTAGAAATTCTGATATCCGGGCAGAGCAGACTTGGTTAAGTGGTCATGGTTGGTTATGGCATCAACTTGCCAGTCAACACAAAGCCTCTAGGGGGCAGTCTCAAGACTTGGCATGAGTCTCCTGGGAAGGGCCAGGGGCCTGGGCATACCTAACTGATCTCAAGAGGTCTCTGGCTGAGTTCTGCTGCCTGACCTAAGCTGAAATGACCTCTGGGGTCTCCACAGGAGGCCTGGAAGAAAGTGGGGGAATCTTGATCCTAGCTAGTCAGACTCGGGGATAACAGGAGACCTTTACTCATGAGATTTCCTGCTGCCAGATGGTGCAATCACATCCCTGCCCAGCCTGGAGCTTGAGGAGTGGCTGTGCTCTCTAGGCAGCCTGGGGCCATCCCGCCACTCTGGGCCAGCTGATTTCCCCAGGGACCAACCTCAAGCAGAAAGAAACCTTAGAGCCAGACAGAACTGGTTCTAATCCCCAGCCTGCCATGTATTCTTTACATGACCTTGGGCCTCAGCTTGCCCTTCAATAAAACAGGTTTGCTTTGAGGGCTGATGGAAGCACCTCCCACATCAGCTGCTCCGCAGCAGGTTAGGGTATTTCTGAACTCAGTCCTTCCTTGGAAGATGGAGGGGAATGTCCTAACTCACCCTGCCCTGTCCCTCTCTAACTCACCTCTCCTCGTTCTTCTATTGCACGCTGTTTAAATTTCTCTAATGCATCTAGTTCACCTCTGACCCAAGTCTTATCCAGGCTGTCCTTTCTCTCAGGAACTGGAGAGTGATTCTGCCCCTGGGGAAACAGCAACTGGAGATGTCTGTGGATGTCACAGTGCCTGGGGGTGGGGAGCACTACCAGCATCTGGTAGGTGGGGCCAGGGATGCTGCTAAACACCCTACAGTGCCCAGGACAGCCCCTCAGCATGGCAGGCTCCAGCCTGTTACGCTAATAGTGCCTAGGTTGGGAAATCCTAGTCTAGAATGATCTTTCCTTCTCATTTGCTTGCCAATCTTTTTTTTTTTCTCAATGCTCACCTGAGGATATGTTTATTGATTTTGGAGAGAGAGGAAGGGAGAAAGAGCGCAAGAGAGAAACACCAATGGGTTGCCTCCTGCATTTGCCCCAACCAGGAATTGAACCTGAAGGCCTTTGGTGTACGGGACAATGCTCTAACCAGCCGCGCCACCTGGTCAGGGCTGACAATCCCTCCTTATCCCCAGGTCTCAACTCAAAACTGCACATTCCGAGGCCTTTCTGACGTCCTGATTTTGCCCCTCTTGCACTCAGACCATCTGCTGCTTCCTCCTGATAGCCCTGTCACACCTTGCATGGCGCCTCTCTTACATGATTAGCTAATTCCTTCTAGGGCACCACCAGGCAGGGGCTGTGCGGCTTTTATTGACTAAATGCCCAAATAATGCCTAGCACGGTAGTTGCTTAATAAATCTTTGTGGAATGAATGTTTGAATAAATAAGTAAATAAGTAAAAATCTGCCAGTGATGTTTTAAAATCACCTCCTTTTTTTTTTTCTTTTTAAATTCTGCTATCCTACAAACAAAAGAAAATAACCCCCATCATTCTTCCCAGGTTCAAGGGTGTCAGGTGCATTTTGCCTAAACTGAGCAAAGACTGTGCCTTCCCCAGATCTCCTTCAGAGTCCAGGGTCCCCTGGCAGACCATGGGATGCCACCAAGCCCAGAACTAGAGGAAGGACACTTTAAATAGAGGCCTTCCTTCCATGCCTGTGTCTCATCTAGATCCTCACTCAAAACCCAAACTCCTGGGCATATGTGGCCTTGATATTTAATGACTTAGGAATGACTGTTTAATATTTTAGATGTGATAATCATATTGACGTTATGTTCAAAGAGAGATGTATACTGAAATATTTACAGATACGATTTGACGATGCTTTGGAAATGGTTCACGGGGGGTGGGGGAGGTGGGGGGAGAGACATGAGCACAGACATTACCAGACTGTCACGAACTGATTATAGTTGAAACTGGGCAATGTATAAGTAGGGGTTCATTATATTAGTCTCGGCACTCTTGTGCACGTTTGAAAATTGCCCTGATAAAAGTGTGTGAGTTCTTTAAAGATCCCTTCATTTCTGGGACTGCTGTTCAGTGCCCTCATGGCATCCGAGGGAGGAAGGCCCTCGGCTTCACACACTGTCCCCCTCCCTGTCCACTCACTTCTGCCTCTCAGCCTCCTCAATAAATCAGGATGGAAGACACGGCAGAGCAAAGAGCTGCCGTCTGGATAGGAAATAGACCTCATTTTCTTGCCTTTCTCCTTTACAAGCTCTCTGGAGGGGTTTTCTTTGCTTATGGTCTATTTTATGGAGCAGATCACTGTTTGTGCACAGGGACCTTCCTCGTGGCATCTCCGCTACCTTGGGGCTGCAGATGTGGGCTGCTCTATCTGCCCCACACGACTGTGGCCCAGCAGGCTGCAGGCTGAGTGGGAAGACCCAGAGAAGCTCAAACTCCGTTGTTTCACGTGAAATTTCCCAATTTAAAAATGTAGACAATCAATTTGTTTGTTAAAACTAGGTAGGAGCCAAAGAATAAAATCCAAGATACCCATGGTCCTTGAATAGCCCAAAGACACCCACACGTCTGTGACTGCCTGACCTGTCGCACCGGACCTCCCTTCCTCCTCCCTGCCCCTCCTGGTTTAACTCGGATGTCATACCTTGTCTTCCTCTGCTCAGATCATACCAGCGGTTCCCTCTTGCTTGAGTGACAGCCAAATTCTGGAATCTCTACAGTCTCGCCCCAAGTTGCTCTCTGATCTTCTGTCTCTTACTACCCTACGCCTCACTTAGTCTGTCCCAGCCACACTGAGCCCTGTTGTTCCTTCCACACACCAGGTGTGCTCCCGCCCCAGGGCTCAGCACTGCTGTTCCCTGTTCCTGGACCACTTTCCCTGCCCGAGCGACTCACTCCTCCTTCCTCCTCCATTCCTCTCGGTGAGGACCGTCCTGTCACGCTGGTTAAAATTCCAACACTCCCCTGCGTCCTCTCGGCTTTGTTTTCCCATGCACCATTTGACTTGTTTGTTTGTTATTTGTCTCCCCGACTGGACTGAAAGCTCCATGGGGGGAAGGGTGACAGTCCCTTTAGTTTCCTCAAACAGAGCGGGGAAAACTGTGTGCTCAACAAATACATGTTGAATGAATGAATGAATGAACGAGTGAATGTGCAAATGATGCTCAGGCCCAGGGTGGATCCCATGCGGAGGGATCTGTGAAGACAGCGCAGGAGCGTACACGCTGCTCTGCACAGGAGGCAAAACGCTAAGACCGGGGAGGACGGAGGGGAGCGGGACCTGGGCGCAGGCTGCTGGGGCCGAGGGCCGCCTTACCTGATGGGGTAGTCGGCTGCGCTGAGGTTGATGAAGAAGTCCCAGGGCCAGTCGGTCATCTCCAGCAGGTCCCGCATGCTCTGCAGGTATGTGGCCAGGAGACTGGCGCCGCCCCAGATGGTGGCCATCCGCCAGGGGGTGACGCGGACGTTGCTGTACTGCCGGGCGAACTGGAGCACTTGGCGGTGCAGGTAGTTGGAGCGCTTTTTCCCAGGAGAGAAAAGGGTGACATTCAGCAGCCCAGAAAACACCCAGACGTGCCCCTTGTCCCCTCTCTGTGCCTTCCCTTCTAGGTGGCAGGGTTCCTGAACTTTGCCCAGTAGATGGTTCAGGCTGGGGGCATCTTTCTACATGGCTATTCGAACACTTATTATTGCTTAAATTTCACTTTAGCTATTTTAAATGCAGATTCCCTGGCCCCATCCTCTGACCTATGGTTTACTAGGAGCCTAGGGCTCTGCATTTTTATACAGACGGAGGCATGTGGTCTGAGGATAGCAAGCTGTGAAATACGGCTGTATCGAAGCCTGAGGAGTATTGTGAGGAGTGGAATGTCTCCATCACCTTCTCACAGGCCTGCCAGAAGCAGATCCTTTGCCTCTTGAGTAAGGACATAATTATGTCACATCCCAGGCTAAGAGAAAACCCCTGGGACAAGAGAGTTCAAGGGTCAGCAAGCCTGCTGTGGGGTTTTATAAATAAAGTTTTATTGGGACACAGCCACACACATCCATCATTCGTTTATGTATTGTTTATGGCTGCTTTCACACGACAACGGCAGAGCTGAGTAGCTAGGACAGAGAGGGTATGGCCTTCAAGCCTAAAATCTTTATATATGGCCCTTCATAGGGAAAGTGTGCCCACTCCTGGGATAGCTCTTCTCACAGAGAGGCAGGCGGTGTACTGGGCAGTGCGACAGTGAGGAAAAGAGGGAAGAAAACCAGTATTTATAGAGGCTGTCTGTCTGTCTGTCCCCCCCCCTCCCTTTCCAGGAGAGGTAGCTGCTCAGCCTACTAGCCTTCCCTGAAAGGGATGCTGGCTTGAAGAGGGGCAGAGGGACCCACAGAGAAAGGCCAGCAGGAGGCGCCTGGATGGGGGGCTCACCTTGTCCACGTGGATGTAGTAGAAGTGGTCTTTGTGGTAGATGGCCTTGAACATGCGCTGCAGCTGCCGGGAGGCACGGCCGTGCACCACCAGGACGAAAGCGATCCGGACCGGGTTGGCCAGCATATACTCCACGGAGTCCTCGTCCCACTGGACGTTCTTGTTGGCTTTGCCTGAGGAAAACCCGAAAGATCACAGAGGTGGGTGAGGGTCAGAAGTTCCTGTTGGGGGCAGGTTCTCTGATGTTTCATCTTGGGGACTGTTGGAGGGGCACCGTAGTCACATTGGGCCCTGAAACCTGATTCAGCATAACCAAGCATGTTCTGGACCCTTATGCTCTCCTGGTGCAACAGGAGTGGGGGACCTCGAGGTGCTTAAGTCACAATTTCCATCCCCAAGAAGCTTTAAAGAGCTGATGGAGACACAGGCACACATATTAAACTATCGAACAGGAGGAGATAAGAGGCATAAGAGGTGCATCTCTGAACCACTGAGGAGAAGTTAACTCTGAGCTAGAAAACGTAAGATACCTGTGCTGCTTTTGCCCATTCAAGTCTATTCTGCTGTTTCCTCCTAAAAGTATCCATTCAAAAAAAATGGTGGTGAGAACAGATAACAGGAGATCTACCCTCTTAGCAAAGTTTTAAGAGCTCTGTATAGTCTTGTTGATTGCAAGCACGATGCTGTACAGAAGATCTTTAGAACTTATTCCTCTTGCATAGCAAAAAATCTCATCCAGTATTTTGAGAGGCCTCACCCCCCTCCTCCATTCTCAGTCCAAGTGGATGGGGGAGGACCTCCCTCCATTATCAAGGTCAGGGGCATGCATAGAGCTTTGGCCTGGCCAGTTCAAACATTGCATCTCCCTGGCCATAGTCTGTATGATGCAGAGGTGAGCATGTGACCCAACCGAGCTAATTAGCCCCAAACACAGAATTCTACACTTTAGTTGAGACAACTAGATAAGAGATGTTAATTTTTTGGTGTACACACAACTGGGAGATTCTAAGAGCACTTCTGTCCCCACATGGAGGTTGCCTGAGAGGGACCAACACAGAAGCAGCACTGCCGAGGGAGGGGGAGGGCTAGAGCCTAAGGACCCGCTGGAGCTCCTAGATCAGCCCCGTGGGAGATCAGCCACCGTCAGTCATATCCTAGTTTTCTTTGCAAGCCTGGATCCTACACCAGACCCACCTGGGTAAATGGTTCCAGATATATATATATATATATATATATATATATATATATATATATATATATATATATATATTTTATCCCAGAAGCAGCTCAAAGCAGCTGTTTCCCCCTCCTTTCCCCTGCAAACACACCAGGGGCAAGGTTGCAAGGAGAAACATTGGCTCAGTTCATTGCAATTCCAGCTAGAGTTCTCCCAGCTCTCTTCGGCCTGATTTCCTTTGAGTCTAACCTGATTTCTTGTGGGTTCGAGGTTAATGGGACCAGAACATTGTCAGGGTATTAGCTGCATGTGTCCCAGAATGTCAATTGGGAAAGCTGAGAACTGGGAGTGTGTAGCCTGGAGGTCAGGAGACTGGGGGCCTGTTCGCTGTCGCTGGAAAGCTGAATGGCTGCCAAATGAACAAGGCACCGTCTACCTTGTTCCAGGGGACAAGAAGAGACGGACATGGCTAATGTCCAAGTCGCATGGCCCAGCCTCCACACCTACGTGATCTGCCTCCTGCAGGCCTGGTGCCTTGACTGGCCAGCCCTACTACTTACCTCGCCTCCGGGCCCTTTTCTATCTTTACTTGAGGTGTCTGCCTCAGCACCTTTTCATGGGCTATTCTTGCTACTGGAACACCCTTCCCTTAGATCTTTATTTATTTATTTTATTTCATTTTTTTTAAAGGGGAGAGTGATGATTTTTATTTTTATTTTAATATACTTTATTGATTTTTTACAGAGAGGAAGGGAGAGGGATAGAGAGTTAGAAACATCGATGAGAGAGAAACATCGATCAGCTGCCTCCTGCACACTCCCTACTGGGGATGTGCCTGCAACCAAGATATATGCCCTTGACCAGAATCGACCCGGGACCCTTGAGTCTGCAGGCCAACCCTCTATCTGCTGAGCCAAACCGGTTACGGCTCCCTTAGATCTTTACATGGCTGCATCTTCCTGTCCTCAGTTCACCGATCAATAAAAGGCCACCTCACCCCGCCCCCAGCCACATTATTCTTTCACTGCACCCTATTTCAATTTTCTGCATAGCATTTAGCACTGTCTGAAATTGTTTATTCATTTACTTGTTTATTATTTAAATATTCCACTAGAACATGAACTCCAAGAGATGAGGGACTATTTAGTCTTGTTTGTCATTAGATGTACAACACTATGGCACACCGCACTCTTGGTGGAAAAAAGAAGTTACAGGAGGGTACATGTGGTTCAGTGCCATAGTAATAGCAGTAGAGTTTACTGAGCACCGATCAGCTCTGGCCATTCCTTATTTCATGTAATCCTCATAACAACCCTGAAAGATGATATTATTTCCATTTTGCAAATGTGGAAACCACAGCTTAGAAAGGCCAAGGGATTTATTTGTTCAAGGTCACACTGCTTTAATTAGTTCAGCTGAGATTCAAACCCAGGTCTGTTTTTAAAGCCTATGCCCTTACCCACGAATATACACGACATTACCACACCCAGAATTTGGGAAAGTTTACAATTCTGCTTGTCAGTTAATGACAATACCTGTGAGTTACTGCAGGTAAACAGGCGTTTGAGGACTATCAGAGGCACTGCAGGGAGGATTGCTGTATCGTGTGAAAAGCTGACTCTAGTCATCATTACGGACACATGTTTTCATCCATCCATCCATCCATCCATCCACCCACCCACCAACCCATCCATCCATTCAGTCACCTATCCATCCATCCATCCATCCATCCATCCATCCATCCATCCAAATCTAACCAATCACCCAGAAACCATTCAACAACCCATCTAGCAAAGCATTCAACAGCTTATTATAAAAAAATGCCAACCATCTATTCATCCATCCATCCAACCACCCATCACCTTTAAAACCAATCATCCATCCATCCATCCATCCATCCATCCACTCATCCAGCATGCTCAAAGCAAATCATCCGTGAATCTGCTCTTCAACCATCTAACTATCAACTCGTTGCTCCCTGCCATTTAACCTAGCCTGTACCACATGCCGAGGTCTGTGCTAGGCACTCGAAAGAAACTGTCCTTGGGGGAGGGGAACCCTTGCTTTGAGGTGCTCTCAGCCAACCTGGGAAAACAGAAGACAGTGCTCAATTGTTTTATGCTAGACGTGTGTTCCGACTGCTCTTGGGGGCAAGAAGTGAGCAGTCCGTCTGCAGGGACAGAGGAGACCTCAGAGAGTCTAGTCCAAAGCTTCGCAGCCCATTTCTTCACACTCTCCGGATGAGTCCTACGGTCTCATGATCCTGAGGATAATTATCCTTGTGGCTCTGGTTGAAGACAGAATGGGCAGCAACCGAGGGGGGGATGGGGGGGGGCGCAGGGGGAGGTGTCCTCACTACCCTCTAATCTTCTCTCCAAGGCAATCACAAGACACAGGGCTTTTGTGGTGATCATTGGGGGTGGGGTGGGGGTGGGGGTTGAGGGGGAAAGTCTGCCTGGAGGGATCATGTGCCCTTCCAGCGGTTCTCAACCTGTGGGTCGCGACCCCTTTGGCGGTCGAACGACCCTTTCACAGGGGTCGCCTAAGACCATCCTGCATATCAGATATTTACATTATGATTCATAACAGTAGCAATTACAGTTATGAAGTAGCAACAAAAATAATTTTATGGTTGGGTCACAACATGAGGAACTGTATTTAAAGCGCCAGAAGGTTGAGAAGCACTGCTTTAAACATTCATACAACAATCCATCCATCTATCTATCCAATCAACCATGAAGTAGCCTTAAAACCTCCCACCTGCCAGCCCTGGACAAGGCCTGGAGAACAAAGACATGTAGAACATGAGCCTGCTTTCACAGATGTATTATGAATGGATTAAGGAATATGAGAATCCAAAGTGAAAAGATAACATATGAGAAAAGCTTATATTCTCTCCCGAAGACCGCAGCCCAGAGGCCGTGTACTGGCCTTGGCCACACTGGGTGTGACCTCTCCTTGCCTCCCTTGGGGACTCTTTATCAAACCAAGGGAGGGACACTTAAAAGCAACAGCTACTTGTGCCACTTTTTCCACCTGGATTTCACTGGGTGATTTTTCAAAGGTCTCCCACGGTCCACGACACTGTATTTCATAGAAAGCGCACTCTGTAGGGGCGCATGCTGTACTCAGGTGACACTGCCCATCCCTGCCCCAAGGTCTCTGGGTAACAATGCATCTGGAGTTCTCAGCAACTGAGACTCATAGGGCCTCTGGGAGCAGCCTGTGTTCTCTCCAACTACGATGTCTCTTGCCATGACTAGTTTTTTCTTATTTCAGAGAGAGGAAGGGAGAGGGAGAGAGGGATAGAAACATCAGTGATGAGAGAGAATCACTGATTAGCTGCCTCCTGCATGCCCCACACTGGAATTGAGCCTACAACCTGGGTATGTGCCCTGACCAGGAATTGATCCATGACTTCCTGGTTCATGGGTCGATGCTCAACCACTGCGCCACACTGGCCGGGCTCTTGTCATGCTTGTTGAGTGAATGAACGAGTGGGTGGATGAATGCATCCTGGGGAAGAGGGCTGCTCTGGTACAGAGGGGCTGACCTCGCCTGTGGGCCTGCTGTGCTCCAGCCTGTGCCAGAGGCTCTGCGTCAGTTGCTACTTGGCTTTGGATGGAAGGCACTGCCATGTTCTGAGGCTCAGAGAGGTTGGAGCTTTTGTTCCGGTCACACAGTGAGCGAGGCCAGAGATGGGAGTGAAAGCTGGGAGTGGCTGAGCCCAGCGCTGGCCTTGCTACCTCCAGCCTACCCTCTCCTGAAGCAAAGAGCAGGGAGATGGGAGGACCGGTGTGCAGATTCCATGCTGGTCTTTAGAGGAACTTGCATGTTGATGTTGAGGAGAGCCTTTTGTACTGTCTCTTTAGGGTTTTAGAATGTGGGGGAGGTGCACAGATGGACAGACACAGACAAGGATGCTTCCCTCTGGAGGGGGAGGGGGCCCTGGGAAATCCAACACTCCCACTCAGCCTCCTCCAGTTAAATACAGTC